CGATCCGTTTTACCCGTAGCCCGACTGGAAAACACAACAGCCCCGGGACGTCGGGCTAGCTATTTTGCGAGCCCTGGAAATACAGGTTTGGTATGACATAAGGGCGAGTAAATGAAGATAGAATTAAAATTTTGGGGTGAACTATTTCTTTAATAGACCAGAATATCACTGGATTGGTTTGGCTTTTGATTGGACCAGCAAAACACCACCCAGACTCCCAAGCAACTAGCTCACATTACACTAAACACCACTCCGAACACCCAAGCAAAGTGGCAGAGAGATTTGCAAGCACCACTAACATTTTAAAGAAACATTTAAGAAAAGTGTACTGTAAAAATCCAGTTTCCCCATAATCCCTAATAGATAAGCAAGCACATCCCATCAGCCTCACGTCCAGTCAGAGCAGATCAGAACTAAAACTAAACAGAAGGGCAATGCTACAGCTGTTCCAGACAAGCAGAATCAATCATAACGGGCCGTATGCATCATAAACACAAGAGCTCGGCCAACTTACAACCCCAGCGGTTCACTGGGACATGGCCCTAAAGCACACATGATGAACGACTTCATACAACCATGATTCATCATTCTGTTCGCTGCTGAATCAAACGCATTACAATGGTTTGATGGTTCACTCTATTTTCGGAAAGCGTGCTGTAAAAATAGTTTACAGTGTGCTCTGACACCGCATGATGAAATGAGGCGCATTCTGAGTTTATGCAGATATCATAATAATTGATCATCTTCTACTTCTGAATTTAAAGAACTCATCAACACATGCTTTCTGAACATGGTTGTCTTACTGCAATGGAAGCAGAAGCTGTGTTCAATTTTTATATCAACGTATTAAAATTATATTTGGGTTAATTGTGTAGTTGATTGAAATAGCTCAAGCTGATTGCAAATTTAAGCAAATGAAAAGAAAAAAGAAAAAAAAACATTTGCATAATGATTCGTTCTGATAAAATAAACATCAAAAGGAGCTCGCAAACAATTTGGTATTTAAACAGACATGGCCTACTGACTAACTAATGTGACCAGACTTCAGATATGAAAAAGATGAAAAGGTTCACATGCTTAGAGGAATAATTCACACATCATTGTAAATGATCGTCATTGTTTATTTATAAATAATGTTGCAACAGATTTATATTTAGAAGTTATGGGATATATAGTTCTTTTGAACGTTCTATTCATCAAAAATCTCTTTCAAAATGTGTCAGAGTCTGCACAAAAATATTAATAACAACTGTTTTTAATGTTGATAATACTATGATTTTTTAGCATTAAATCAGCATGTTAGAATGATACGGGAATAAATTACATGAAATTTAACATTTTTTATTTTAAAACGTTTGTCTTTCTGTGGCTCTAATAAAGTCTGTGTGCTTCATTTATAGAGCTATAATATAGGTCGCGCTTTCTCTTTCCGTTCGCTCCGTTTTTTAAACGCCGAACTTCAAACTCATCCATGCCTCATTATTCATTCTTGAAGTAAACTTGTGTCCGTTTGGTGATTAAATAAACTGTTTTAGATCGCTGCTCGAGTTGAACGCGACGCGTCCGGAGTGTGTGTGATACCGGCGAGTTCTCCTAGACTTTTATTTTGATTAGATAATCATCAAGTGTTCAACAATAGAAGCAGGTAAAGTCTGAGAGTATACATACAATATCCATATGTATATCATTTTAATGCTATAGCCTTTGTGTATATATTTAAAGATGTGCATCTTTAAGCATGACAGTTTAAATGAAATGGTAGCACTTTAAAATAAGAGTCCATTTGTAGCATTAAGATGAATGAACGCGGTGTACGTATTGTTCCTTGTTAGAGTGTGTTAATTTCAACATTTACTATTATTGTTATTTTTTTATAGACATTAACCATATCTACTACTAGTATGGTTCAGTACTGTTTTTGTTAATAAAGCACTATTTTAGTTTTTGTTCAGTATCAATTTTAAAACTATCGGTTAATTAATCGGTATCAGCCAGTGTGGTCCAACCTAGCTATCGGTATCGGCAAAATCCACTATCGGTCGACCTCTAATATTAAATATTGTAAAAAGGGGCATAATATGTCTCATTTTAGGCAGTCTTGCTGTTTTTTCCCCTGACACATTCATAATCGTTACTTCTGCCGGTGTGCTGTGGCAAATTTTATGTGTGCGCTTGAGCGCTGATAGGCTATAGGCAATTAAAGGCTCATTATTATGAATTATATGGTTTATTAATATAGACGTGCGATTAGTCGAGTAATAGCTAAACATGAACGACTACTAGTCGACTAGAAAAATCAGTCGAGGGCAGCCCTAGTCACATGATCCTTCAGATATCATTCTAATATGCTGATTTGCTGCTCAATTTTATATATATATATATGTGTGTGTGTGTGTGTATATGTGTGTATGTGTATGCATTTTAAATCAGAAGTGACAGCTGACCTGAGCCCAGCGGCGGATGCAGTCCAAGCAGTAGACGTGTCTGCAGCAGTCGGGTACGGCTCTTTCCGTCCGTCTGGGTCGGTTCAGACAGATTGGGCACCGCTGAGCCTCCTCTTCCTCCAAACTCTCATCTGAGCTCTGCCCACCTGAAAAAAAAAACAAATCACAGAGTTAAAGTTACTTTACTTACCTTTTACAGAATAATGCATTAAATATGAGATGCATCCCAGCCAAATTCAACAACTCATTCCTATATGCCTTGTCCAGTCAAGTGTATGTGAAGTTACAAAGGCAGCATATCCAGATATGAATAAACCCCGCTCACCCTTTCCTGGCCCCTCTTGCATCTTTGGCTCCGGGTCACAGCAGCTCTGAGCCCTGATTTACTGTCCCAACACATTTAAAGAAAAAAACATATAATAAAGCACAACTCTGATACATTTCAATCATCATCATGACAGCGCAACTCAGTCACTGTGTCTTTATTTGCTGTGTTTACTCTCTCTCTCTCTCAACACAGCTGAAGTTTGAGTTGCTCATTAGCAGCCTGTAGCCATGAAAGAGGCATTTAGAGCTCTTTACACTCATTGAAGTTAGTCCTATATGATTAATTAGTATGGATAACATACATAGACACGTATCGAGATGTTTATAAGTTCAGACTCTTGTTTATCAGTGTGACGCGGCTAGCTGTGTTAGCATCCGCTGTCATTAGCACACACTCACCTCCGCGCGCGTCCCTCCACGGCCTTCAGATCATATACTAGCACGCAGGACGCTCCTCAGCGCAAAAACACACTTTTTGTGCACTTTCATGAGCCCTTGCTCTCGTAATTGCGATAGATTTAAAGGCGTCCGGCCACATGTGGGTCAGGAGCTGCAGTTCCGCCTCTTCACCGCTGGGTGGCGCTGCTGCGGGGCATGATGGGAGACTCGGCGCGTCATCACGTAGGGGTTAAGGTTCACGGAACTTCTTCCTGTGGAGGAAAATCTTTTTAAAATAGTCCACCAAAGAGAGCTCCCCTTGCTCAGTACAATTAAAAATGATAAATATGTAAGTAAAAACGTTAAAAAAATTATGAATAAAAACACGCTAGAAAGGATATTCACATTGCCTCTAATTTTTTATTTAGTAATATGAAATGTTAAAATAATAATAATAACAATATATTAATATGATATAAAAACAATCTGTGAAGCCATTTACACACAACAGTGAGTTTAACGTTGATGAAAACGACTACTATTTTTTTTACAGCCAAAACAAATCCTTCCTTGAGTCTTCTTTTTGTTTTTATCGATTAAATGTCTATTAACGGTATCAGAGCGCTGATTGGTTCTTTAAGAATAAATGATAATAAATCTGACCAATAAGAGATCACGTCGCTGCCGCAGCGCTCCGCCTCCTTTTAGTTTCTTTTCCGCTGCATAATTTTTCTAAAGACTAAAGAGTGTTTGGATGTGATCACTGTTGCCGTCTTAAATGTTATTAAGTGTTTCTGTTTAAAACGATCGAGTGATCACACTTTTTAAAAATTACGATAGTATATAATCCAGACGGCGTAACAGAATCATGCATTGCAGAAAGTATCCAGCAGAGGGCGACATTAAACACGAACAAAAGAACAAGTTCTGTCAATTTATCACAAATGCTTTGCGAATATATATATATATATAAACATTCATGAGCAGATTAAAAAAAATCGGTACTTTACATAATAATAATAATGTATAATTTTATAATAATAATAATTTAATAAATGTATAATATATAGACACACTCACACACTCAAAATGTGAACATGTTAGAAAATACAGATTTGTAAGTAAATACCAAATACCATTTTAAAAAATATATATTTAAAATTGAATAAATAAAATAAAATAAAAAATAAAAACGATTCATGAGCAGATTTAAAAATGAAAATATTGCATTGTTTGCTGTTTAAATGTCATAAAAATAATTAATACAAATTTTATATAATATTAATAAAACATTCAAATCTGTGTGTGTGCATATATATATATATATATATATATATAC